TTAAAAAAGATAAAATAGGATTAGAAAAGATTAAAATAATATTAAAAAGCATTATAATAGCATTAAAAAAGATAAAATAGGATTAGAAAAGATTAAAATAATATTAAAAAGCATTATAATAGCATTAAAAAAGATAAAACAGGATTAGAAAAAATTAAAATAATATTAAAAAGAATTAAAAAATTAATAATAAAAATTTAGTCAGATCCTTTTATAGTTATATTTCTTTATAATTATCTTTTTTTATAGTTATTTTTTTTGAGTTTCCAGTTACTAATTAATTATAATTAAAAAAATCTCTTTATAGTTACATTTTTCTTTAGTTATCTAATTTTGTTTTTCTAAGTATAATAATTATAAAGAGATCTGATTGTAATTCATATTAAAAATAAATATTCAATATTAAAAGATTATAATAAAATATGATAATAAAGTATAAAAAATAAAAAATTATAAAATATAAAATTAAAATAATAAATAATAAATAAATTAGTATAATCTATGAAATTGTAAATTAAAAATCTTTTTATTATATTATAACAATATAATAAGTTATAAAAAACCAATAATTAGTATTTTTTAACAAAAAATTCTATATTACAGTCATAACTTATTTAAAATATATAATAAGTCTTTTAGTTTTTTTACATCATTTTTATTTTTAATTTCTCATATTTATTCTACAAGTTTGCTAATTAATAATCTTTACATTTTCTATCTCATTTTCTATGAGATTTTGATCAAATATAAAAAATTCAATTTTCTTATAATACTTATACATTTCAAAACCTGTCTTTATAAATAATTAATTATTAGTAATCAATAATGTGTTTGTAGTGAAATGATATTCTTAACTAGGTAATAAATAAGTATCATATAGTTGCAACTTAAAATTTTGAAGTGTAACTAATTATAACCTAGTAAAATACCAGTGACAAATAAGTATTGGATAATTATGACAGTCAATTAGAAGTTGCAATCTCCATTACTAACTATCTACTAATAGTTTATTAGTGTTTTTAATATTCTGTTCTTCCAAATAGTTAATAAGCTAAATACTATATAGGTTATAACGAAACGGAAAACATGAAAATCATATCATCATAAGTAGAATATATAATAAATAATAAAATCCTATATACATGTATATGTTAATACAAAAAATAGTTACAATGTTAAAAATGATCCTTCCCTTTTTACATATCGATGAATTTCTTAACACGTTCCCAATCCTACTTGGCATCTTCCTGTCTTCCGATTTGATAATATAAATGTGCACGTTGTTTAAAACCATCAATATTATTCGGATCCAATTCAATCATCACGTTTAGATCTTCAATAGCTTTCTGGAACTCACCAGTCTGACAATAAAGTTCACTTCGCTCTTTCAATGCGTATATGTCTGTAGGGTCAGCTTTCAGAGCAGCCTCGAAATCGACAAATGCTTCGTTATATAAGCTAAGTTCTTGGTAACATCTGGCGCGACGACGGAGTGCTACTCCATTTAGTGGTTCTATCTTTACTGATTTATGGAGATCGAGCAATGCCTCATCGTATCGACGCAAAAGACGAAGGACAGTACCGCGAGTATGTAATGCGAAACAGCTTGAAGATTTTTCAGCGAGCGCTTTATTTAAGTTATCTAACGCATCATCGTAAAGACCAAGATTCATAAAAGTATCACCTCGAAGTTGCATTATAACAAAATCTCCCTATATAATAATTGACCGATTAATTACGCACAACTTGCATATATAGAATCATGAATAAAGTAAAATATGTACCTCGTTAGCTTGTATTATCTTATTGAAGTCTTCCAATGCGTTATTATATTGTCTCAGAATATGATAAACAATTCCACGATTCCGAATTGCAAATGTATTATTGGGCTCCCTAGTCAAACTTTTCTGTAAATCTTCCAACGCCTGATTGTAGTTTCTCAAATTAAAATTAATCCAACCACGATATCTTAATGAGAATGCGTTGTCCGGTTCTTTTTTCAAAGAAAATGTTAAATCGTTCAATGCTTCTTCGTATTTCCCCATCATACCATATACAGCCCCTCGAACACCAAGCGTGTCCGCATCATCTTGTTCAATTTCTAATGCTTTGTGCAAATCAATCATCGACTCATCCCAATTTTTCAATAAACCCAAAGCATATCCCCGAATACGAAATGCTTCTAATCGATGTGGATATTGTTCTATTGCAATGTTTAAATCCTCAAGTGCACTTGAGTAATCACGTGTTCGTAATAAGGTTTTCGCACGTAAGCAACGTGCTGAATAACTTGTTGGATAATTTTCCAAGACTTTATTTAAATGAACGATTGCTAGATCCCAATGTCGTCGCATTATAGCTTCATTTGCTTTACGTTGTTCACTGCACAACTTTCGAGGTACTCGAAGATAATACGAGTTCCGTTGTATTATGTTACTTCCTTTAACATTATCATTATTATTAAGATTCATAAATCTGACTTCAGGTAATTCTTTCTCTTTCCAACGCCATGAATTTTCCGTAGCAGCGAATCGATCTTCTAAGCCTTCCACAATAGCAACGATAGATAATATTCTTAGATTATGTGATTTTGTTGTTGTTGAACATCTAAGACAGGTTAGATCCGAAAAAAGATTGTCCGGTTTCTCAATAGAGTCAGAATTAAAACCGTGTCCGCACGGGTAAAGAGTGAACTCTCTCGTGAATTGTTTTTTTATAGGACACATTAAATATTTCGTAATTTCCTTTGATAGAACGTGATGATGATTTTGCTTGCTGTTCGTGGGTAACTTTATTCCGAAGGGATTTTTTAAATTCGACTTATTTTCCGCTTTTTTAACAAAAAGTTGATTAGTTTGATCTTGTATTTTTAGTTCATATTTACATTTACGTTGAATTGCTTCTAAGAGTTCATCAAATTGAAACGCAAATTTATCGTTATGATCCAAATTAGATCTTTGTCGACGATAATTTTTTAAATCTGAATCGACAGCAGTTTTCCAATCACTATATTTGTATTTGAAAAATAATAGAATTTCAAGTGCTTTGAAACGGATAAAATCGTTAGGTGACCGTTCCAATGATTGTAACGCCAGATAATAACAAAGGATAAAATCGACCGGATGCTGAATTTCGCTTTCTAGTAATATTTTATGCACTATGTCCAAAATACCGAACCAAAGCGAATTAGGATGAGATATTGGGCCGCTTCCAAAAATATCTAAGAAAATGAATAACGATAAGATTCAGGGTATTATTCAAATTTGCGTTAATGTAATAAGAGCATACCATCTTGGTTAGTTCCATTACTATAAAATTCACTCGAATCCGCAAATGAAGTAGCATTCGCCCAGGCTTTATTCGCATATAACCAAAGTTCATTGAATAATTGCATTTCAGCATACTTTTTAATCATTCCTATTTCTGCACTTTCTTGTTTTCTATCTTTACTTATCCATCCATATAATTGCCGATAAAGTTGAAACAATCGACACCAATCTAAATGCCAATCGCACACCTTATACTGCTGATTAAATGCGTCGACATCAATTTCCCAGTCACCTAATAAATTTTTCCGAGAAGTTGGTGCTGATGAAGGGAGTAATGAAAGTTCCGCATAATTCATAAGCCGCGAGAATTCATCCAGAAGATCGGAAGTATGTATTGATTCATTGTCTGGAACACAATGCAAAATATCACGAGAAACTGTCAAATTGAAGTCAACATTATAATTTCGCCAAATTCCCGCGCCAACATTTTTATGATGTAAATGTTCAAAATTTGTCAAAACTTCATACATTTTCTCACGAAGTTGTTTTGAAAGCGTTACGCTTGTTTTATCCAATTGACATCGAATATTGTGCAATAGAGTTACGAGAATACGAGAGTGTAATTCCAAGGTTATCGTTGTATCATATGTTTGATAATTGTAATTTGCTGGATCGGGCAATACTTCTAAAACACGAATTAGGATTCCAATCGATAAATTGCTATTCGGTTGTTCTATTAAGGATTCTAAATCTTTTAAATTTGTCAAAGTTGGAAGATTCACTTTTAAATATTCGATTAAACCTTCTGTTTGTTCTTCTTGTAACGTAAGCTTCAATTTCTTAGGTGATTGTTGGTAAGTTGAAGAAGTTGATGGTTCAGTATCCGGAACTTGTTCAGATAATTGTCTCTGTCTTTCTTGATACGTTCTTAGGTCAGCTAATCTCGCTGCTTGTGTGATTATATTAGTATCCTCAATATTATGATGATGATTGTTAGAAGTACATCCATTATTGCTAGCATTATTATGCTGCTGGGATACGAGCAAAGCCGTTCGTTTTAACATCTTTTTTAAACGAAAGAAGTTAAATGAATGAACTGCCATGGCTTCATATAAAAAATAAACCAAACCTTTCCAGCCCAATATTTAGGTTTAAAATTTGACGTAGACATTTTTAAAAAACTATCTTTAGCCTTTATGCTTATTGCTTTAATGTGTTTTAAATATCAAATACATGTATGTACTCATTGTATGCGCATCTCTGTTATAAACCCAATTTTTCGCCCCCATTTTTAGAAATCTTACATGTATACGCGCCTCGTCACACGCAAACATATATATTCGGACATAGCTATGAAGCTATGATATCCCCTTTTTTCATTTGGCTTTTTTCAATCTTTTCCTGTTATAGGGAGATAATGATAATGCCCCATTAATCATTCATTTATTTGGACAAATTCAAAAATTTCAATAACGGACATTCATTCTTCACGCTGCTTGGGAAAATGCGAATGATTATAGCTTTCATATTGGTAACGATAAAGAGTTATCAACTATAATTAAGGTTTTTTTCTTTCAACCATTATCGATACAATATACTGTATCAGACACACGTTTTTTCAATTTCACGTTTGTTTGTTTTATGTTACACATTATTTTGCAGCATGATATTTGTGTGCATGTTACGTCTTTTTTTAAATTCTTACAAAGTCACAAATAGCCATGATGTGTGTCTTCAGCCAAAACATCAGTTACGCTAGCTAAGAAAAATTTCAATGGCTGAATTTTTTTTCATTCAAATTTAAATCTGAAAAATTACAAAATGTCTCTTGCCTCAACACTTCCCGAATTATGTCTCGAAGAAATCTTCGAATGTCTACTTGCCAACAAATCATCTCTAGTTTCAAGTTTATTAGTTAATCGGCATTGGTGTACCACAGCACTTCGACTACTATGGCGAAATCCATTGCTCGTCCAAACTAAAAAAGGTTTAAGTCGGCAACTTTATATTCTTTGTTTTCCGGCCGATCATCCATTACGCGCGCAACTTTACAAAACGACATTTCCATACATGATGATGATCAAATCGTTGGACTTGCCATTACTCTATGAAACAGTTGGCATTGAATTCAATTTTCCAGAAACATTTATGGTTATCACCGCGATTCTCGAACATTTATTGATTGATGGTGGAACTGTTTTATTTGATATGAATCTGGATTTTATTGCGGCATCAAAGCGACTCGTGAGATCATATTGGCATTCCACAAGTCCATATTTCAGGATATTTAATCACCCAGAAGTGAGTAATGCTCTTTCAACGTTACGACGGTTGACTATATCGAACCTACGTGTTGATAAAATAATCCCATTAATCGCTAAAACAAGTCCAAATATCACCGAACTACACATTCATCTCTATACTGAATACTCCGAGTTCTCGCCATTCTGGAGTGGATTCGCATGTACGCTTTCAAGTCTGAATTTTCTGTTACCTTATTTGCAAGGCTGGCGTAAGTTGAGTATATTATCGTTTGCCTACGGTGATGTTCCTCCGACAAGAGAAACTCGAATCAGAGAAGACCACTTTTTCGTCGAGCTCGGAAAAAACTTGCCGCCTATAACAATAAGAAACTTAATTTTTGACGTTTATTTTGATGTAACGCCAAATTCAATCAAACAATTTTTCAGTGTAACTCAAGCATCGTTCCAAAAGATTTCTTTTTTAAAGGCGACGCAGTTTTCTGATGAGCATTTGAATGCGATTGCTTTAGACTCTTGTGGAAAACTATTGGAATTTGATCTTTCAGGTGCGAATCATGTCACCACTGAGGGACTGATAAAAGCTAGAAAATCAATACCAATAAATTTAACATCGAAATAAGTTTACGGAAATCCTAAAGTTATTAAAGCATGACTTCTTGATTTATTAGTCATTAATCATTGCAAGCAAATCTGGCTCATAGAAATAATATAGAGTAGAAGCAAGTGTTATTTATATTTAGCAATTGAAAACAGATAATTTTTAATAGTTCGATGACTGAAAAATTTGTGTTTAGGTTTTAAATTTATCATTATTACATATAATGCTAATATGAAAAAGGTTCTATAACTATTTAATTAGGAAGTACCTTAAAACACGACACGCAAACAAATATCACAATAATTAGTTTTTAGCTATAGAAATGTTACTCCAAAATTAATCTAAGAGAAAATTTTAATTTTTACTAACTGACTTAATTGATCAATGTATAAAGGAAAACGACGTTTATTTCGATGAAATTAAAGCATTTTATATAAAAATAATGATCTAAAAGAAAAAGCTTTGAAGGAAAGACGTGTTTTTAATTTTATTATTAAGATAAAGAAACATTTAAATAAAAATTATAAATAAAAGTGTATAAAACAATCATCAGAATATTTTTCTAATAAAAAGCCTTTGTATAATTGCTCAATCAAAAAACAATATGGTCCAGTGCAAAATGTAGAAACAGAAAAATGAAAGTTAGTAATCACTTCTAATAAAAGTTTTGTAAAATATAATTAATATTATAATTTTTTTATATAAATAAAGCATATCTTAATATAACTTTTTAATAATAAATGATGCAAAATTTTTTGCTTTTAAAGAACAAAATTTTAAAAACTAAAAAATGATTTTTTATATATTATCAATATAAATTTGTAATTTTAAGAGTTCATATTAAGGAAATGTATTGCTGAATATATAATAAATATATATTCCAAAATTTAACAAAATTGGATAACTAGCTGTGAAGAAATTTAGGTTTAAAGTTCAAAAATATTATGCAAAAATTACTATATATTGTAGATAAAAAAATAAAAGTTCAGAATTTGAATAAGTTTTTATTAATTATATATATTTATATAAAATAATTAGAAGTATAAAAATATTCTTAAATATTATATAATTATATTTATATAGTTAAATTATAATTAGAATTCTAAAAAATTTTATAATGAATATGGTCGTTACTACTCAAATGCTTTTTTCTCATCTTTTTGAGTTCCTATACCATTTTGATGACAATAACCAAGATTGAATTATCTACTGATTTTAAATATCACTCGAATGCTTTTTTCTCGTCCTTTTGAGTTCCTATACCTTTATCATAACAGAAACCAAGTATATATTGTATCTGAGCATCGTTTTCAGCTAGTTTCGAATGCCAAGCAAATATCTCATCATCTTTTTTAATGTATTTTTTTAATACTTGACAATATGCCAGAATAATTTTTGAAAAATGGTTCTTTTTGAAATATGACTCCTCATAAATTAAATAAATAAGCCTTGGTTAATTGATTAATATTATTTCATATTGATAGCATAGATCAACAAGCAACTCATTCTTATAAATAGTTAGCATTGATTTTTTTCTGTTATTATCAATTTCAGTTTGATTCGTGTCTTGGATAATTAATATTATTTTTAAAACTATCTCCTTCGATTCTTCATTTTTGGAAGAAGTCATTCGTCGAAAATATTTGATGATCCCTCATGGAGTTTTGAATCATCAAATTGACCAATGTCTTTGGCAGGAGTTAAAGGCGCTGAAAGAATTTTTTCGGTTAAGAGTTTCATATTACACTTATGTATCGAGAATACTTAAAAAAATTTATACGTTAATTCGATTGTGTACAAAGTACATGTACACTCAAGTTTGGAATCGGGGGTGATCGACATAAATAAAGGGGTGAGTTGAATCGTTATTTGTGCAACACACAGACGTCCAATTTTAACGTTCAATAGCTCTTTAAAAGCTAAAATCTTAAGCTTTAAAACGATATAAAAAAAAATAGGTCAAACTCAACCAATACTCGCAGAAAATTGCCAACTTACGGATTTTGAGCGCGGCGAGATAGTCG